GTTCTCAGTTCCTAACTCTCTGATTGCCCTTGCTCCTCCTACCTCCCACAGGTAAGAATGCCAAGAATCTGTCATTGGCCTCTTCTCTATTTATATTTCCTGTTGGTGTGGCTTTTGGTAATGAACTTAGAGCTCTCAAGACAAAATCAACTTATGATCTAGATAAGTGGCCCTGCTGAATAGCAGACATTTTATTATGCAGTTGATAGTGCTAAAACTTCATCAAGATGATCCACGTTCCCTTTAGATTTTAATTGCTCCCTTTTATATCTAGTCATTGGCTAGGCCCTATCAGTTTTGCCTTGTTATGGTCCTAGGAATTTTCTCTCTGTTCCATTACCAAGGCCAGGCCTCAGGCTCAAACTATTTTTCCACTTGATTTGAGGGGGCTTCAGAACATTTATGGAAAATTCCATTATCTTTCACTTCCATTTTTCCATTAACTTTTGGAGTCTCCTTGTATTAGTACTCCCCAAGCACAAAGTCTCATAATCTGGCTGTAGTTTACCTTGTGACTGCCTTCCCTCTAGCTCAGGTGGAATCTTGCTGGGATGGAGACATTTGGTGTTAACTGGAGAGTTTGGGGGCCACTGTTATCCTACCATAAGAGCAGGAATTTGGCCCTTGTGTTACTTGAGACAGATTTTTTTTTTTTTTTCAAGAGAAACTACACATTCTGATTTTTATGTGAAAATCTCCCAATTGGTGCATTGGAATTATGGTGTTGGAGAAGAATAATAAAAATAGCATGGACTGCTAGAAGAGCAAATAAATTTACCTTGGAAGAAGTGCAGTTAGAATGCTCCTTAAAAGTCAGGATGGTGAGACCTCATCTCTCATACTTTGGACATGTTATTAGGAGGGACTGTTGTCTGGAGAATGACATCTTGCTTGTGATGGGTCAGCAGAAAAGAGGAAGACTCCCAAAGAGATGGATTGACACAGTGACAGCATCACTGGGCTCAAACAATTTTGAGGATGGTACAGGATAGGAAGTGTTTCATGCTGTTGTGCATAGGATGGCACCTAACAACAACAATGGATTAATATTTTTGAAAAACTTTGAGAAATTGAAAAACATGTCTGTGGGATGGATTTAGGCTACAGGTCATAATCAATGACCTCTATTTCATTTTCGGAAAACCTTGTTAGATTTTCTGTCTAGGCCTAGGGTTTTCTATTCTGCCTGGGAGTGGGACATAACACAAGGTTTGAAGAAATGTTAAAATAACTCAAATAGAATTCGGGGGAAACTACCACTGAATAAAAGTTACTAGTTTCTGTGAAAAGACAAATAGTTAGATGCATATAAATTATAACCTAATACTATTTACCCGTGCCTCAGGGAACACAGTGACAGTACCATATCATGTGAAGCTTTGATGAGCTGACATTTATCAACACTATATATATATATATATATATTGTGTTGTTGTGAAGTGCCATTGAGTCAGTTCTGACCCATAGCGACCCTGTATAGGGTTTCCAAGGAGCAGCTGGTGAGCTTGAACCACTAACCATGCAGTTCA